CTTGGAGATGACTCTTGTCATTGCCACAACTCTGGTTAAATAATTTTTCATTTTGTCCTCAAGCCACAATTATACCAATGAATAATAATGTAAAATATATGAAGACAAGTATGTAAAAATATTTACACATAAAAGTTTGTAAAAAATATGGACAGTTAAACTGGTGTCAAAATGAATTGGTTTACATAAAAGGTGTTGCCTGCTTCACATAAAAGCTAAGGGCTCTTTTCAGATGCAGTGTATATATTTTATCTTGTCAAGAGGCTTGCAAGAGATTCCCTAATACATTTGATTTCCATTTTGTTAATTTTCAAGATTTCCTGTATCTGTCACAAAGATTTTCAGTAGTTATTTGGAGAATCTGTAATTCTGTAACTCTTTGGATAAAGAAATTTTGACCATGTGTCCCACATAAGATATTCTGCCATATATCATTTAAACAAAATAAGGCTTAACCCAGTACATTTTCATCAATCTCTATTCAAGATAAAATTCTAAGAAATAATTTTGAGTATTCAATACTATCTTAACTTTATGCAGTCAGTTGCTTTCCCACTCCGATTTCTTGCCAGTACTGAAAACCAACCTTTGAAATATCTATTTCAGCATTTGAATGATGACTGTCAAAAGCATAACATGTACAGTACCAAGAGTCTACAATGCAATTGGCCTTTCATTTATGGTTATTTTTGAACTGCCAAAGATATATCTGAATCTGTTTACCTTATTGCTAATTCAGGAAAAACTATTCTGCCATCAAGGACTGAAAAAAAAAAGTCAGCCAGGTAAAAGCAGAAGCATTTAAATAGCAGTTATATGAGAACTACGCATAAATCTATCTGTTTACTTTAAGTTTAGTGATGCGTTACTTATGACATTTAGACATTTAGTCCGTTTTCCTTGTCTGATAGCTTGATGCTGTCACTCTTGCAGGTATTGCGGAATTATGTTGCTACCTCATTTCTTAGGGCTTCTATATAAGGACACTTACTAGAACAGAGTTTTTTGAATGGCTACCCATCTAGACACTCTATTCCAGAATAAAATCACATTTAATTTTGTAATAATTAGTGAACTTCTAAAGCACAGTAATTATTCTTGAATAATTTTTATTTTGGAATAAAGTGTGCTTACAGGCAAATATTCTGGAATAACTATTGTGTAATAATGTATTCAATCTGTTCAAAGATTCATGAATTATTGTGCCTGGTTAATTATTTCACATCACATGTATACAGGGTGAATTTAGGTTTCAGATTAATGCTAATGAGGGGGGGGGGGGAAACAATGACACTGAGATTAACCACTTCAGAAACAGCTGTAAACCACTCTAGTTAAATACATGTGACCTGGACAAAAGGCTATTTTGTTTTTATAAAGTTCAAGAAGGGAAGAGAAGACAAAACAGCCTCTCTCACTGTTCCAGAAGCCAACAGAAATACCAAAAAGGCCACCTTTGCATAGGAAATATAAAATTCCCCATTCCAAAGGATATAAGAAAATAATTAACCAGTCTGTTCAGTACAAGATTATAATTGCAGTGGGAGATTAAAAGTGTTATTGGTAATACAATAAATAAATATACTACTAATAATAATATTAATAGTATTGTGGCTTTAGAAAGAGCTTAAGATTGTTGATGCTATTTGTGCTTTAGTATTATCCTCAGGGAACTCTAACAAGAATGAAATTTTGAAGACCTAATTCAACATTTCTAATCAACATCTAGAGATGTCACTGGTTAACCAGCGGCCCTGCTGAGCTGGAGCAGCCCCCCATCCGAGACAGGTTGAAGGGTGCTCTAGGCTGGCTGGAGCAGCCACTGCCCACCCAGTGCAGCAGGTCCGTCTGGGCTGCAGCAGTTCCCTTCTTATGGGATCCCATTTAAACAGTTAACCACTTAACCGATAAAACAGAATTTTACATCCCTAATTTCTCAACTAGTGAAGAATGAAAGATGTGGGGGTGAAGGAACAACTACACACATACTTTGGATGGAATATGATTCAGGACATAAGTCAATCTCTTACCATAGGATTAGGAAGAAATTTCCTTGTAGAAAGGTTGTCCTATAACCACTCTGAGATTTCTTGCACCTTCTTGTGAATCATCTGGTAATGGACACTACCAGAGAGAGGACAGTGGACTTGATGGACCACTGGTCTGATCCAGAATGGCTATTACTAAGTTCCTAATACAACACCTGAAGACTTTCTTTGCTGATCAATAATTGGAAAAAGGCTGAGCAATTAAGTCTTCAAATTTTGCATGCAAAGTCTTTAGCGAGCTCTGTGGCCTTTTGCTATGTTTGTGTAAAAATTAAAAATTAAAGAAATAAGCTATCAAAATAATTTATCAGCATATTTATCAGGTGACTAGACACTCATCATGCCTAAGTGTCTTTCCTGTAAACAGACCAACATTCACCAATCATTCCTCATGCATAGAGTCTCACGATTTCAAGGTCTGTTCACGAGATCAGGCCCTTAGATTTTAGAAGTGCCTTGCAAGGACCTCCTCTTTTGTAACCTCACAATACACAGCCTGACCTGTCTCTGGCTGGACTGTCCAATCCAGGAATTACTGCTGGGTAAAATCTGGGTAGGGGATGTTACACAAATCTCATTTAAACACACAGAACAGAGTCATCCAGAAGACTAAAAAATAACTTTTTTTTCCTGTTCCTGATATCCTCATCTTCTGTTGTTTTTGTATGTATTGTAATCCAGCTAACACAGACTTGGAGAAAAAGAAATGTGAACTCACTCCTTTCTCATCCTTTTCAGCTCATCGATGAGCAATATATGATTGCAAAGCATGCTATGTCTCAATGAAACATTAAATTCAAAACCTATTTGGAATGATACTGTAAAGATTAATATGAATGGGCAACTGTGATTTTTTCATTTTGTTTTTTTAAGAAAGCAAAAGGACATTTAATTGTCAGAGCTATATTCCACATATCTAATATCTTGAATGACTAGGCATGCTAGCAGTTCTCAAATTAATGGTCTCTGGGACTGTGGACAGTATTCACTTCTCACAGGACAGATGGAGTTTTGAGGATCCAGGACAATGCAAACGTAACCTGTAGAAGGCTCCCAACTGCCTTCCATTAGCATTAGGGTTGCCAGATGGTTTAACCAAAAATACCAAACCTCCCTTCCCCCCAAAAAAAAGTGGGGAAAAATTCTGTTGAGAAAAAGAAAAGCGGAGACCAAAGTTGTTGAGCAAAAACAACAAAAAAAGGACCCCAACAGCAAATCAAATAAAGAGGGCTAGGCCCAATTCCCTTAAACGGCCGGTCACCTGATGCCAGGTAGAATGACTTCTGCCCTAGCTATCCATTTACAGGCAGTCCCCGGGTTACATGGATCCGACTTACATCGGATCCCTACTTACAAACAGGGTGAGGCAACCCCGCACTAGCTGCTTCCCCCCAGCAGACCAGGGAGACGCGGAGCAGTTTTTCTCAGCAGACACCTCAGCTTGAGAATAAAGGACTGAGGGAAGTGAGGTGTGGGAGAATAAAACTGAGCTCTGGAGAAATGTTTGGCTAGAGTTTCCCCTACAATATGTACCAGTTCCAACTTACATACAAATTCAACTTAAGAACAAACCTACAGTCCCTATCTTGTATGTAACCCGGGGACTGCCTGTATATGTATATTTTTTTAAACAGCATGGCTCCTTTAAGAAAGGCCTTTGAGGCTTTTTGCCAGCTTTTTGTTTCCCTGCTCCAAGCCAGAAGACAGCTCCCCTGTGGAACCAGGTAAGCGGAAGGAGAGGGGTTTGGGGGGGGGGGGGGGGAGGAGCTAGGCGCTGGGCCCAGTTGCTGAGTGTGTGTAGGGTTGCCAGGTGTCCGGTATTTTCACCTCCTGTCAGGGAAAAAAAAATCAGAAAATACCAGACATTTTAGGTGCCCGGTATTTTCTGAATTTTTTTTACCAGACAGGAGGAAAAAATACTAGACTGCTCGGGTCAATACCGGGCACCTGGCAACCTTAACTACCATGAGCGAATGACAAGACATGCACTGAAACTTGAAGCAAAAGGCTACATCAGCATGAGTTTCATGAGACTATTACACGATTATATCTTTGCCAGATACCATGACACACAAATTATAGCAAATTGAAAAATAAGATTGTATACCAACTGCTTAAAATCTTGTATAAAGGTAGTAATGCATTTTCAAAAAAATAAATATCAGAAGGAGACTGAAACTTAATAGGCACTAAGCAATGAAGAAAATATTTAAAATCTCAGTAGAAAACAGAAGAGTTAAAAAGTAAAGAGGCAGAGAGTGTGAAGCTGACAGGCCAGATACCAGGTCTTGCCCAGTCTACTGGCATTAGCTAAGAACTAAAGAACTCTAGAGACCAACCTGTGCATCTGTATGTTAGTTTTGCTCTAAATACATACAAGTCTTATAACAATGTGTTTAGACTGCCTGAAATACTTTTAAGTTGCTGCATATGCACTAATCTCACTTGCAATGTCTATATTACATGCTATAAGAAAATATGTAAGTTTTCCTTTATAAACTTTGAAAATGTTTGTTCTGAACTTGGGAGACTCCACCCATCCAGAAGGACTATTAAAATCAGATGGACCACTGAGGAATACCTGTGCTGAGAGACAGGGGCAGATGACCGTTTTGTGGGGCCCAGGACAGCATAATCTTGTGGGGCCCCCCTTTGCCACGGCACATGCGCGGTGACGCAACGCGCATGCGCGGTGGCACCACAGCGCATGCGCGGGGCTTTTTGAAGCGCGGGGCCCGGGGCGGCCGCCCCACTCGCCCTGCCGTATATCCGCCCCTGCTGAGAGACTTGCTGTCATCACACAGTCCAAAATGCTGTGTAGACATACCCTTTGTGGATATAGTGGGAAAGAATTGGGGGGAGTGGATGGAAAGGACACTATGGGAGAAGGAAAGTTTAAGGTTAAAAAGCACAAGTTATCAGTTGCAGTTCAAACAGTAGGCTATTTTTTACCTGTTACTTTCGCAGCTTGATGGCCTTCCTTTGAAAAGGCTCTAGAATTAACTCTGCTTGTTGATAACACAGGAATGGAGAGCTTTTCAGGGATTTCAAAATATTCTGGCATGCTCACTTGTACACTGTAGTCCACGGATTTTAACTTTGGGGGGTATTTAGTAGGCCAACACAGCACTTCTCTCTGCAAATAAAGAAACACTATGTAACTTTGTATAATAAGTGCACCCATAATAAAGACTTTAAAAGTGAATAAATTCTGTTTTAGAGACTTGGATTTAAACAAGATAAGGGTTATAATTAAACAGGTAGAACAGCTGATTATTAACTTTTGCAAATATTACTACAGATGGTTTGGTTTCCCCTTACAATTAATTTTAAATTGCAAAATTATTACTCAAATTAATAGAATAAATCTGGCAATTCTTTCTCTTATAGAGGCGAACAAAATTGGTTATATATAAGCCTCCTTACGTGGGCCTGAAAAAGTACTCATGCTTCTCAATGACAAATTATAAATCTTTAAAACTTTTCAAGTCAAGTAAAATAGGAACAAGAAAATATACTAAAACAATTATTAGTAGTCCTGTGGCACCTTAGAGACTAACAAAAAAATATATAACTATGAGCTTTCATGGGTAATACTTGATGAAATATATTTTACCCATGAAAGCTCTTGATTCTATAAATTTTTATTAGTCTCTAAGGGTATGTCTACATATCAGCATTATTTCGGAATAACTGACATTATTTCAAAATAACAAAGAGCGCGTCTACACACCAGTTCATTATTTTGAAATAATGGCGAGCTGGAGGACTTCTTACTCCAACTCCGGTAACCCTAATTTCACAAGGAGTAAGAGAAGTTGAAGGAAGAGTGTTCTTTCTTTGACTTCCTGCTGTGTAGACAGCACCAAAAGCCGAATTAAGCCATTTCGACTTCAGCTACGCAATCGACGTAGCTGAAGTTGCGTAGCTTAATTCAATTTTTGCCCTACAGTGTAAATGTGCCTGAGGTACCACAGGACTACTTGTGTAAATGTGTCCTAAGGTACCACAGGACTACCTGTTATTTTTAAAGTTACAAACTAACACGGCTACCCCTCTGAGACTTAAAAGCAATTATGTATTTCTTTATTTGCTACCCCAAACTGGAAAGTTCTGGAATTTTTTCACCAAATCTTCCAAATTCCTGAACAATGGTAGGGACGAGGAAAGTCCAATAAGTGGGTCGAGCCTCATGGTCGCCACACAGCATGGCATAGGGACTGGGCAAATGGCCCTGCACTGGGCTTCATGTCCCTGGGGCTGCCCCTGCCTGGAATACAGCTCCCAGGAGCGAATGAATTAACATCTCCCTCCCCCAATATAGGCTCTGCCTCCTGCTCCGGGAGTGGGCAAGGCTGAGGTTACTCCGTAGATCACAGTGGCATGGCTGGTCACACGCTGCTGCCACCTCCAAAAGGTGCTGGGGCCTGGGCTAAGCCATAGCTGCTCCCCATGTGCAGGGAGACCCTTCCCCAGCACCCCACTATGCCCAGCCAGGGGCTGGACTCAGCCCTGGACAGTCCCAGACTCTACCTGCCCCAGCCCCAGAGCTGCAACTTGCACATGAAGGGCAAGCCCCAGACAAAGGGCCGGTCCGAGCAGGGAAGTGACTCTGTCCCCCCAGCTCCTCCTCGCCTCAGCACTGCTCCCAGAGGGCTGCAGTTCCAGTGCTGCTACCATGCCAGTGTGTGTGCTGGAGGCACAGCAGTGTAGGAGTAGGAGGGGGGTGAAGGAAGATGTGGCACACACTTGAGGCTACTGAGAGGGATTAATGAGGCTGTTAAAATGTAAGTAGGACTATTATTGACTTTTAAAAGTGTCAATGGCATGCAGATCCATAAATAGAAGTGAGTAAGTTAAATCTTGGCACGCCACTTCTGAAAGGTTGCCGACCCCTGCTGTAGAGGGAATTTACAAAAGAGTATTTGAATTTAAAATTGATCCTTCTATTAGTTAAGTTAATATTAAGATACTTAATATTTTTCATATTTTAAGATGTTCCCTTTTCTTGTGCAAATGTTACAACTCTTACTAAAACTAATAGAAAATGTGCACAATTGCTGATGGAAGAAATGTATTACATTGCATTTTTTAATTATGGAAAGGATTTGTGAAGAAGAAAAATCCAAAAAGTTAGATACTGAATACAATATTATTTATAAAGGATATTATCAAGTACTGTTTGAATTAATAATTCAAGCAGGAGAGGGTAGAACATGGCCTATATACTTTACTCTCCATTATTTTGAGGGAGAGAGTCAACTTCTGTGAAATCTTAAAGCAGAGAGAAAATGTGGGGTCTTTTGTTAAACTTCTACTTCAAATACCTTATTTACTCAACAGCATATAAAAATGTTGAAACATATTCAAAATCCCCTCTGCATGAAACATAACTGGATAGTCATAAAAGACTTAGGCATTATTTTTACCTAAGCAGAAAATTCAATACTTTTTGGTAGTGTGCATTTTTTCAGGACATATTTACAAGCGGGGCAAGCGGAGTTGCTTCTTGAGGTAAAAAACTGGATGACTTCATTAGCTGGAAATACACTGATAGTACTCTCAAAATTTAACAGTTGAAACAAATCATTCATGTGATAGTAGCAATAATCTATTTCAACTAGCCAGTCCAAGGGCTTAGAGAAAACTTGAAATAAGAGTGTTATTTTTGTGACACGAGTCACAGAACCACACAAAAAATTAATGTTTATTTTGTCTCTAAATCTATGAGATATTTGAATAACAAATTGGAAGCCATAGTTTGGATGATATTGATATCAGATGATTTTTCCAACATTTTACTTCAGTCAGGGTGCTTCTACATAGCACCATTATTTCGGAATAACGCCCATTATTCCAAATAACAATGCAAGTGTCTACACAGTAATTCCATTATTTTGAAATAAATTTGAAATAATGGACCATTTATTCCAACTACTGTAAACCTCATTCCATGAGGAATAATGCCTATTCCGAAATAGCTATTATGGAATACCAGTAGTGTGAACACTTCACTGCTGCTATTTCAAAATAGCTCCTCCCCAGGCTCTGACATGAGACATGAAATTGTCAAATTTTATTAAAGGAGATAATTGAGCAAAGGTTGGAAAGACCTTAAGTTACTCAAGTCCCATAAGATTGATGGGTGATCTCTAATAAAATTTTAGCAATCACAAAAGAACATTATTTTTAATGTGCTTACTCTGTAATGTTTTATCCTATGTATAAATATATTTTGCTAGAGCCTTTGGCTTTGTCTAGACTACACCTCTCTGTCAAAAGAAAGATGTAGATTAGGCACGTCAAAATTGCTAATGAAGCAGGGATTTAAGTATCCCGTGCGTCATTATCATAAATTTGGCCACTGTTTTTTTTCGAAACTGAGCTTTTTTTAAAAAAAATGGCAGTCTAGACGCGGATCTGTCAAAAGTAAACCCTTTTTTCCATTATTCCTCCTGTAAGGAGGTTTAACGGTAGTTCGAATTAGGAGCTTTAATTCGAACTACGTAGTCCGTGCTGCGTGTAGCCGCAGGCAGGTAGTTCGAACTACGGGGCATGTAAAAATGGCGGCGCCCGGGAACACGCAAATGAAGCCTGGGATATTTAAATCCTGGGCTTCATTTGCAAGTTCCAATGCCTACATTAGCTGCCCTAGTTTGAACTAGGGTGGCAGTGTAGACATACCCTCAGACCTTCAGTGGAAATCACACTGAAGCACAGAGGAACTGCAACCCTAAACCCCCAGTTTCAAGAAACAGATTGATGCAAATCTATGCCTGAGACAGCAGAAGGCTAGGAAGCCTGAAACTTTTAAGTAGGTGCCCAAGACAGAGTAGGAGGGGTGACAAAGGCATAGCTAACACTGGAAGGGTGACAAAACGTACCTTGTGATTCAACAGATCTGTTCCTTTTGTATGTAATCCAAATCATATCTGCTTATTTAGAGATAAAAACAAATGTTTGCTAATTTTAACTCCAGTTATCACTATACAGCCAATAGAGCTGTTAGAGAGTGAGGCAGATTTTATTCTGGCTTGTGTATCAACATAACTGCTAATGATATTCCAAAATATGAAATTGTTATTAGTGGTGAAGAAAATAATTGACTTTCAGTTCCCTGGATGAGTTTGCAGTATGAGTAGATAGAATAATAGACTTTGTTACAAGCATCAGATTCTTTAACTTATTAATATACTCTGAATATTAGCCATTCTTGTCTTTCTGGCTTTTTCTCCTTTGCGGCAAATCCTGTTTGTTCAAGTATACGACCCCCGATTTCTTTGCATTGTAGATACTTTTGCTATAGGTGACTGAGGCAATATGGCAGCTTCCCTGGATGTAATTGTCTCACAAATGGTTTTTAAATCTCATTTTAACTCTGTTTGTTCCTTCCACCCTATGACTTGTAACTTCTCGCCAATAAAACAACTTTATGTCCGGACTCTCATGGTTTTGGAGGGTTTTTGTTTGTATGTTTATTTTTTGTGCTCAAACATTGTCTGAAATAGGATATTCTACCAGCTTTCACTGCATAGGTTGTACCTCCCTAAACTGTGACTCTCTGGTCCGACAACATCCATAGTCCAGCAGCACCACAAATTTTCCTGGATCACTGAGCCCAGGGAAAGGAAGGTCTGATGGTGGGGCTGGAAGCACAGCATTGAGGGCTCGTGACTCAGTTGGGAGCCCTATGTCAGGAGGGGCAAGTGGCATGACAGAGTTCTTGCGGCTGGAGAGCTCTGGTCCCAGTGGCCAAGGAGCTCCGACCACAATGGCAAGGCACCCCAGCTGGGCCATTGGCAGGGGGCGCTCAGGCCATACCCCAGCAGCAGCAAGGCAAGGGCCAAAACCCGAGCCAGGGGGAAATGGGATTGAGCACGGTTCAGAAGCAGCCAGCAGCAGGGATGGGTGAGGAGGCCAATGGCAGGGTCCTCTCCTGGTCTGGCAAATCCTCTCGTTTGGGACCAGTCAGATCCTGAAGGTGCCAGAAGAGGGAGTTCCAACCTGTATATCAACAAATGCTGGCTGAATGATGTATTAAAATCTATGTAGTTTATTTATGGTTGTGTGTATAGCCTGCAGTAAGCTATGGTAGATGATATAGATACACACACACACACGCGCGCATATACATCACCCTTTCACTTTGATAGAAGACAGACACTGAGCACTGGGACAAAATTATTCTGGAGGTTTTCCAAAAATGCAACTGAGACCAGAATTTGACCCAAGATTTCTTTTGTTATTGTTTAAAATGTACTTTTAAAATACACCAAATTCTAGTTGTTTCCCCTTTTGAGTCACATGATCAATGGTGGTAAGATAAAAGTTGTGGTCAGAGCCAAGCATCTGTAGCAAAGGGCTCCCACAATGGACTGAATCAGGGCAACAGAACAGTGGTGAGCCTCAATAAAGACCAATACAGAACCCCTTGTTCACTTTCATTAGACTCCAACTCTAGTCTCAAAAACCCAGCATCCCCAAGAGAAAGAACTGAGAAACCCCCAGAACAGAGACTCCAACACAACAGAAGCTGTAGGAGGGGAGAGCCTCAGCTGGCTCCCCAAAATTACTTCACTCATCTAGGGCTTAATCATGCATTGGGTCCCCATGCATTGGGTCCCCTGTAGGAGGAAGAAAGGCAGGTGCTTCTTAAGCTGAGACATTCACTATGGAGAGAGGGCACTAATACAAACACAAGAAAGAAGGGATCATATCTGAGCCTCTCCCAAATTTCCAGACCTACTCATCTCCCAGAAGCAGTGATGACAACACAGTGTTATTTTACACTACTCATTCGAGATATTTTGTACTGTGTGTTGATTTTTCCTTCCAACCTCTTGCTTCCTCCACTCACCATAGTCCCTTCTCTGGCAGCCCTCCCATCCTGCCCTTCTCCTCTCTATTCTTTCCTGTCTCTCTTCAGTATTTACCTTTCCTTTCTTTTCCTCCTATTTTTTGTTTTGTTTACATAAGCGTCCTTCCCTACCATTTTCCCTCACTCATCATTAATAACAACTAATTCACATAATGATTATCACCTGGATCATTTACTTGTATGTTCTATCCTTTTCCTCCCACCTGTTTTTTGTTTCTGTGTTTATTGGATTCCAAGCTCTGAAGGGAACAGAACAGTGGTGAGCCTGGACAAAGACCAAGACAGAACCCCTTGTTCACCTCCTCTAGACCACAACTCCAGAGGAAGACTGTCGCTTCCTATACTTTGCTTGTATACTACCCAACACAATATTGTGCCATTCCTGATTTAGAGCCTTTGGCCAGGAGCACAATGGAATAAGTAAATAATCAGTGTTTCACTGGAAAGAGCTATGTATTATTGTTCTAATAAACACAATTTTCAGGGACTCTGTATAAACTGTTCTTTGTATGACACAAAAAAATAATTACCAGGAGAAATTTTTAGCAAAGAAGTTAAAAAATAGAGGCCATCTATGTGTAAGGACTAAGGTCACATACTGTACAGAAATGAACCTGCATTTTTACTCTGATTCTGAAGGACAAGTTCTTCAGTCACAACTGTGCTCCTTTACAGAAGTACAAAATAAAAGGCAAATACAACCATTACTAAAAATAAAGATCTAAATCATTTTGGTTTTAGAGGTATTCAGGTAGAGAGGGCAAGCAGTAATAATGTAGGTAGCACCTCTCCTTCTGTTCACATGTGTAATTGTGCCTGTAGCTAAAGCTTCCTTACTTATGCAAGCTATAAAATCCTTTCTAAAGGACTTCACAAATTTATATAAATTTGCCAAACTACAGATTTTTAGGTAATTCAGAATCAAACCTGAATTTAGACCTTGAGCTTCAGACTCAATTGTGAAACATAATCTTACTTGCAAGCATCTTCAATAAACTCTGCTATAACTTCTACACTGTGAACTGTTTTTATGTGTCTAATAAATGTGAATTTATGATAAACTTTATTATGATCGCTTTTTGCAGTTTAAACTTTACAATGGTTTACCAAATGGAGAAATATATTGGTTTTAATCTGTTAAATAAATCTCTTCTACATCAATCAAAGCTAAGCTCCGTGATATTTCTCTTGAAGAAATATTTGACAAAAGAATATTTCCTGCACAAGAAAAAGGGTGCTCTCTGCATATTATATTCACCTCATACTTTTCATTATTGATTCTCAAATATGACATTTCAAATATTTTGACATCTTACCATTAAATATTCACACCTAATCTTGACTCTTATCAACCACCCTAAGATTCACATCGTATTAGTATTATCATTAGATTTTAGCATGACTTCTGGTACAAGATACTATACTTACTCTGATTATATTACAAATTCTGATTAAATTCACAGTTAATGCTCCAATATGGAAGATTTATATATGCAGTATATATTAAAAGGTACAAAAGTGATATGCATGAAATACTCCAAAAATGTCACCTCAGCAAGTGATTAGCTAGCATCCTAGAGGAAGAAATTTAAGTCTCAATACCACGGATGTCTATCATGGCCCCCTGACGTCAGTTGGAGTTCTACAGTGTCAGGATTTCCCCCCATAGTAAGAAACACCTTGTAAATGGATGCATCATTTATAGATTATTCTTGAAATAGTTATTATTATTAATTATTAATAATAATAATTGAAATATTATTGTTGAAATATTACTGTTTAAAAGAAAACTTCATGAAAGAGGGGGAGTTGTTTTCATGCCTCATTTGTCATACATTCACATACACATAATAGTTTAATTTTCTTTACTATTACATGGCATTTATCTCTTTTCTTTTTCTTTCAGACACCATAATTATTTTTCATAAGAATACTTCCACTAACAGATACCGTACCATAATGCTCTCAAATACAGAGGAGCAATACACAATTTCCGTATCAATGTTTCACCTATTAAAATAGATATTATGTAGTAAAAGGCAAGCTCTTCAGCCCCAGTAAGACTTCTCTGACAGCACAAAGCAGCATTACAGCCAATGTAACTGTTAGTAGAGGATTTCCCTTGTACAGGGGAATCCTCTAGTGGCAGAAGGCAGCTTTAGCAAGATCACTTCTACCCTCTACCACAGAGCATTGGGGTCACATCCAGAAAAAGCAGAGCATGGCTATACAGCTGGCATAACAAAGAGCCACCCAGGGATCTACCTGTTCGTCAGTTGGCTCCAAGATCCAGAAGGAGCTAAAATATACAGACCATGGCTTTGGTTATGATCTATCTACAGTTACATTTTATTTTCATAATGGAAATATGTTTGTATGTTCAGTGACATTGCAGAATATGAATTTACTTATAAGAAAATCCAACTTGTAAGAAAACTTGTAAGAAAACTTGTAAGAAAATTTGTAAGAAAACTTGTAAGAAAACTTGTAAGAAAACTTGTAAGAAAACTTGTAAGAAAACTTGTAAGAAAACTTGTAAGAAAACTTGTAAGAAAACTTGTAAGAAAACTTGTAAGAAAATTTTGACTTGAAAAATTAACATGATTAGGAAGCCTAATCCGAACTAGCTACTCCGTGCCGCGTGTAGCTGCGCGGCACGGGGTTCGAACTGCTGGCATTTAAAAATGGCGCCAGCCAGCTTCATGCAAATGAAGCCCGGGAAATTCAAATCCCGGGCTTCATTTGCAAGTGCAGTATGCCTACATTACCCTCCTAGTTCGAATTAGGAAGGTAGTGTAGACATACCTCTAGAGAGTGATATGTTAATTTTTCAAGTCAAATTTTCTTACAAGTTTAGTAACACTGCAATAGAAATGATCACATTCCTGATGGAATTTCTCTGAATAATAGACTGATAGATTCCAAGGCTAGTTTCCAAGGCCAGAAGAGACCTTGTTACAAATGTATGTCTTAGTTCCAGTTTGAATTTGTCTAGCTTCAGCTTCCAGGCGTTGGATCATGATATATATTTCTCTGCTAAACTAAAGCATCCTTTATCAATATTAGTTCCCTATATATGTACATACAGACTGTAATCAAGTCACCCCTTGGTTTTCTCTTTGTTAAGCTAAGTAAGATTGAACTCTATGAGTGCGTCTAGACTGGCAACTTGCCAGCTGTTTATACTGGCCACTTGAATTTGCGCAAGAGCACTGACTTTGTAATGTACAAAATCAGTGTTTCTTGCGCAAATACTTTGACGCTCCCACTTGGGAAAAAGCCCTACTTGCGCAAGAGGGCCAGTGTAGACAGGGAAGAACTGTTTTGCGCAAAAAAGCCCCGATGGCTAAAATGGCAATAGGGGCTTTCTTGCGCAAAATTGCGTCTAGACTGGCCACGGATGCTTTTGCGCAAAAGCACTTTTTGCGCAAAAGTATCCGTGCCAATCTAGACGCGCTTTAGCGGAAATACTTTTAACGGAAAAACTTTTCTGTTAAAAGTATTTCTGCAAAAATCATGCCAGTCTAGATGCAGCCTACGAGTCTGCCACTATAAAGCTAGCAGATCTAAACTACAGTTCACTACTTATGAGATTTTACTTTTACAAAAATGCTGTGATGTTCTTGCTAAGATTTCAGTACTCAAGTGTGACAAGCACACAGTGCATGTCTAAATTATTAATAGATAAACAAAATCTGGTAAAAACTAGGGTACAAGAAGGTCACAGAGTCTTTTGACAGCATATCTGTACTACTTGCTTATCATATCTTCTTTGTGGTAGTATATATTTCTTATGAATCCTGTTTGAATACGCTTATGGTTAAACAATAGCTCCTGATAATGGAGCAAAGAAAAGGAAACCATTACAAATTCACAGGAAAGGCAATACCGATAATTAGATCTATTACCTGGAGTATGGAAACTTTTATAGTCATATTTTCTGAAAAGAATCACACAGCACAAACTAAGTGAACTGATATCACTTGTTTTTGAGGCGTTTTAGGTTTTATTTTTTTTAAAACAGTTGATATAATGCAGTACCTTAGGGAACACACAAAATAAAATCTTTGAAGACTATTCTGTGTATAAAAAAGCCATAACTTCTTTATCTATTTAATGGTACTTTCTGAAATTTAACCAACCCAACCTCACAAATAAAGAGAAGCTATGTAATATTCTGCCAGGTTTACTATGTTTTTTTACCTCAATTCCAGACAGCCCTAAGGCTGCAACTGCAACTCGAACACTGCTGCTCTCCAGTGTTCCTGTGACCTTTCTTCGCTTATGTTCGAGAGCTGACATCTGCTGCTGTGCTGCAATGGCCAGAGCCTTCTCCCGAGCTTCATTAACCAACGGGATTTTCAGCTTTTCTTCAAGTACATCAGTGAGACCACATTTAAAGCACAGAACTGGCTGTACTATACCCTGACCTGCAATACACAAAGCCATTTGTCAGCTGCTATTTCAGTAGCCCAGACCAGAGCACAAGCAAAAATATTAAATTCAGAGTTTAATGTAACAATGTAAGCTTTGCTGTCATAGTTTGAGTTTTAGACTAATTATAACTTACAACCATGAAAAAGGATTGAAAACACAGACTGTAATCCAAATTGAAAGTTGCTCTGCATAATAAACAAAAATATATATTTAACTATATTTTTATATCTCATTACATTTATGGGAGTAATTATTACTAACTATTTATTAAAGCTTTCATATTGCCCTCATCACTGGGGTGTCAGAGGTCCTTATATATTTACTGTGGTTTACTTTATAATTTGCATGTCTTTCTATACGTCCTTTCCAGTCATTACTCTCCTTACCATCCTCCTCCCATTAGTTCAGAAGTATTGTTCTGATGGGAAGGTTAGGTCAAATTGATAGGATTATGATATGCAGGAAGTAAAATTTGTGGTGATTTCAGTGTCTTCTGAAAGTGAATTGCACGGTATGTTTGTTAGTGAGATCTCTCGCTCGCTCGCTCGCTCGCTCGCTCTGTCAACACACACACACCCTCCTTCAGCCCCTCCTGTGGAACATATCTATAGTGAGAAGACATTTTGGAGAGTAAGGTAATCCATTTATTTATATTACCTTGGCACTTACAACCCTGGCTAAAACTGTGGCAATACAGTTCAAACACATAGTGAGAGACAATTCCCTTGTCTCAAAGGTTTACAATCTAACAAAGAAAGAGTAGCAGAAAAGAACTTTTATCTTCATTTGACAGAGGAAGTGTAACACAGAAACATTAAATAACTTGTCCAAGATCACAGAGAAAATCTGTGCTGGAGCTGGGAATGGAATCCAGGTTGGGAATTAGAATTGGATTCCAATTCTGAGTTTTAAACACAAGATCACTTTGCTGGTTGGCTCCAGGCACCATAGCACTGTGGGTTTTATGGTTGATACATGCCTTTATACTGCTGCTCTAAGCCTCACTTTAGTTCTATCACCATAATGAACAGCAGAAGGCAGGAACAGCTCCTGATGGAATACTTAACCCTGATAGCAGAGTGCTTTGATAGTGCAGGATCAATAATCACCATTGAAAGAAATGAAAGAGAAAAGCAGGAGGAAGTGAGCTAATAGGAAGGAAGATGAAAGGAAGTCTTGTAATCTCACAGAAATGCATATCACAGAGTCACATTTTAGAGTGTGCATCTTAGAGGTTTTTTAGCATTTGCATCCCATCTGTGGATCTATATTTTAACTTTCAGCCTTATGTGATTTTAAAATGGCTGAACCATATACTCTTCAAATACATCATTCAGGATTGAATCACTCACAAATTATTTACATGGCAGGAACTGGCACCAGACAGAAAATAACAGTAAAATCGCAGACCACACTATAAATGTTGTAATTATGATAGCAGTAATGTACAACATCATTCTGAAACTCAGCACTGCCTGGCTACAAATGGCTCACTTTGAGAGGCTACAATGTATTAAATCTTTAAAAAGGTACCTAACAGGACACAGTCATCGATACTCAGACATGATATGACTTTCTCCTTATTTTTTCCTTTCAGTTTCATTTTTTTGAATATTACAGTAATTAATCTGACTGGCATTTATTTAGAGATAGTGAGTGAAAGCACAAATTCTTTAGATGACTGCCCAGAGGAAAAACGGTCTCTGCACAGCTCATGTAAGCCATCAAGTTCATTATACTGCAAAGCGGTCTTCATCCTATGGCTGTATGTGTTGTAGAAGACAGAGCAGATGATGATTAACACACTTCCAAAAGCAGCAGAGAAATATACTCCTAATTAGAGGGCATCATCTCAGGAGTTTACTGCACAAACTGCTAGTTTTCCCTCACAAAAAATGAGTATGTTTCAAAAATTATGTATTTTAAAGAGAGATGGGCACAAACCAATGGTTTAGAGGTGGTTAAATACAGATGTTTCTAAACTGATTAAATAAATGCTGAATTTCTCTTAGATTGTATTTTATTAAAAGTGCCCCGTCTCTTGGAGGCACGTTATCCACATGAGAAATAGTCCAGTACTGACAGAGTTGTTCAGACCTCATTAAATGGTCATGCAAAAATGTGTCTGAATCACAACCTATGAAAGAAAGGTCACTTCCCAAGTAACTGTCATTGCTTCATATAATTTGCTGCGTGGATCTATATTCAGTGAACAAAGAGCTATAGAGACAACGAATTACAGTTTCTAGGTAAATAACCTTTCCTTCTCTATTTCCTCCATAGATTCCCAGCCCATTAGCAAGCAGAAACAACTCCTGAAGGTGGTGAATTTGAACAATATTAATTGAACAAAGCTGCAGGATTGTTCTCCAGAACTAAACTAAGGGTTTAATAAAATGTCAAGGACGTAATGCTGTATAAACGTAAGTAAGGACTTGTATAACCTGTGTGTGTGTGTGTGTGTGTGTGTGTGTGTGCAATAGCTAGAGTGTAAATTCTAATGCACACCAGTATGTTATTAGATTAACTATCCATGAAGACCCTGCTGGCATTCGCTAAAGTTCCACGGTGAAGCCTATGCAGTGCTGTTTGAAACACAACTATGTTAACATGCATTATGGAACTTTTAGTACACATCAAAAGGGACCTCTCAGTCCAGTTTTTGAGACCCGCTCATGCACACTAGAATTTACACTGCAGCTGATACTGAATAACATACCATCAGAGACATAGCGAGGGTGTTATGCGCCTGGGGGCAAAAGCAAAATTTACGCCCCCCCCCCCCCTTCCATGTGGCAGGGCCCCAAATCTGGCACACGGCTGAGCCCAACCCTGGAAGGAGGAGAAGTGGAACTTGTATCACGTCTTCCCCTACCCCCTCCAGTTTGGGGCTGGGTGCCTGCATGCACTAACCTGCTGGTGAAGATGGAGGAGAGTCGGGCTGGGGACAGAGAGGTGGGGAGGAGGCTCCAGGCAGTGGTAGCAGGTGGAGGTGGAGCAGGAGAGCCAAGAGATTACAGGGGGAGGAGAGGGGGGCTAAATTTGTGCCTCCCTAGTGTGGCATGCGGGGGCAACTGCCCGCACCCTGCCTCCCTTGCTACACCACTGCATATCATGCAGCCATAAGGAACTCGAACTAAGAGCTACACATATTTATTTGACTGAGATATTTCTGAGACATTGCAGTTGACACCATTTTGGCTTTAGTTCATTGTGTTCCAGGAAATACAGCTATCAGAATACCCATCACGACATAACAAATGTGCCAATATTTCCTATCCAGGAGAATTCTAAGACAAGCAAGAAATGCTTGTACCGGTTCAAGTATTGCCAATTACTGCTGCAGTACTACAGAATTGAGGCATCTTGGAAAGTAGGTATGAAAAATTTTTATATGGCCAAGCTGAAAATTTACTCTAGTTTATTTGCAGAGACATATCAGGTTAGGAGGCTTACAAGCAGCCTATAACTGGAAAAAGATTTGGGCAGGAAAGAAAATCTAAACCATATGACTAGAGGAACAATTTTAGATCATGTTTGTTTTGCAATGCCTTTCTAAGGTTCATTCCATTATAAAATGGCTCATTTTTCTTAGTGTATTTATTTTCCTTCCTGTAAGTGCCTTAGAACTCAATACATTATAAAGGATGTTTTCCTTATTTCATTGTTTCCCTTTCGTTTACTCTACCTTTTAATGTGCTGCTAATGGGCAGAACATTTGGACTATCCATTGGAAGCAAGCCTGAAGGCAAAGGTATGCCACATGTTCCCTCTACCAGGTAAACAAATTCTCCAATCTGAAACAAAGGAGCATATGCATTTCAATTCAGAGAGCAATTCATGCAGAACAAATTATAAACCATTACAACAAACAAAAGAAATGAAAGATTCTATAGTGTGAGGGAACTGGAGAGCCCTCATATGGGCCACACCCTTAGACATCCTGTGTTCCTGGGTGAGGCACCATTACACTTCTTGTTTTTAGTGTTTATTTGTTTAGTAATACGGGAAACCATGGTTGGGCATGTCTGAACATCCTTTGTAAGTCTATGTCACAGGGCACATGCTTAGCCTAGAACAGAAGTATCAGTTGTTATTTGTCAAGATCCAAATTTCTTCATCAAGGTTTAGTCAAGGTCCAGACTCATAAAATCATAAGAGAAAATAAATAATAAATAATAATAATAAAAAAATAAAAATATTTCAGGGTCCATTCAAATGTTCCTAGCAATCTGGATTATTCCAGCAGTTTTCCTATTTACTGCTAGCCTAGAATATATAGTATTAACAACTTCTTTATGTGGTGGAGTGATGGCAACTCTATACCAGGAGGTGGGAAACCTGTGGCCCATCGGGGTTCTATGTGCGGCCAACGAGACATTTTGTTTTCTGTTGTTCACGTGAAGGATTGCCAAATTCTGCTGGTTTCTGCCCATGTCATTTTTTTCCTACTGGTATTACTAAAGTGAGATGCATGTAAAGCCAGGGAACATGAAGTGAGTGCATGCTGATTGTACACAACATTGACTGTGACAGCTGCATGTCCCCTCTGAATCTAATCAATGTGCTGCAACAATTCAAATCAGCAAACCCTGCAAATTCTAGGTACCGCAGCCAGTATAACTCACTCAACCACCTAACAAGGCCTGAGATTTTACTTATTTTTACTAAGTGTAGTCTAGGATTGTATATTCCTGTTGTAATTTTCAATAAATTGTTAAAACCACCTAGTCTCTCTTGAATTCACTGCATTGCTCTCGGGGATGGACAATTCATAACAGTAATTCAGTTCTTATATACTCATCCCATTACACCTAAATGCCTGAGCTACAATAGCATGAGCCACAAAGGAGACATCAGACAAAAAAGTATATTTTGATCATATCAGTGGCCATTTTTAAAGCCCATAGTCTGTTTGAAACAAACAAGAGTAATCATCTGGATAGCTCACATTTAAGGATGAAAGCTTCAGAGGGGTAGCTGAGTTAGTCTGTAATAGGAAAAACTTAAAAAACAACGAATAGTCTAGTAGCACCTTAAAGACTAACAAAACATGTAGATGGTATCATGAGCTTTCATGGGCAAAAACCCACTTCTTCAGATGACCAGAGTATAATAAAGTCCAGATCCAAAAATAAATAAGGGGGGGGGGAGAGAAAAATGGGAGGGGAGGAAGAAAAAGAGAGTCAGTGAGTAGATAGTTCAAATAGTTACAAGAGGCTGTTAAGAACCATTAATACCTCCATTGGTTGGCTGGTTGGTTAAGTCATTAAAAGGTGGAAGATAGTGAATTTATATCCCAATTCAGACCATTTGTATAAGAATTAATCTTGTGAATGAAGTTAAGTTCCAATCCTTCTCTGTGTATTTGGTTTGTGGAATTGGTCTGAAACAAAACGGCGACTTGGAGATCCATTAATGAGTGTCCAGGAAGATTAAAGTGTTCTCCAACAGGTTTTTGTGTGAATTGCCTTTTCAGATATCTGATTCGTGTTCATTAACTCTCTCCCGTAGAGATTGTCCAGTTTGGCCAATATACATTGCAGTGGGGCACTGCCGGCATTTGATGGCATAGATACATTCAAGGATGAAACAGTTTTAATTAAATGGATGCACAGAAATATTTCAAACTACATAATTACTGCATTTTGTAAAGTTTAAAGCAAATCAGCTATTTAATTAGAAAAAAAGCATATGTTAAATTTGAACCAGCAACGTTTTATTAACCAATTTGTATTTCTCTAGCAAAAAATAAGCGGGGATGAGAATGGGCTTGTGTTATATGTTCTGACAGTCTTTTAATGTTATTGAGTATTTTCCACTTGCCTTTTTTTAATTATAATTGTCACTAATTGAGGGAGTTAACTAATGAATCTGAATTTAGAGTTATACCAAAATCACTGATGACGACACTGCACAAACGAAAAAAAAACCCACAGAAAAACTAGGGGAGAAAGAAGGGACAATAATTTTTCCCAAAATGGAAAGGACATAGCCACTGATGAACAAATACCTTCAAACATACATAACAAAGAACAAGTGTACAATACAAATGCATGTGAAGCTGCCTGTGTACAGAATCCTACAGTGATTAGATTAAAAAAACACACCAAAGAAATGGTGCAAGGTGGTGAAAACTGCAGTGTTGTCTTCAAGTTGTCATTGTCAAGTCCAAGTCGAGTCTCAAGTCACTTCAGTTCAAGTCTCGAGTCCCTAAAGTCCCTTTCGAGTCAAGTCCCAAGTCGAGTCTCAAGTCTTAAGTTAAAAAATGTCAAGTCACTTTTGTACAAGTCATCAATATCGGCATTTTCAGACAATTTTTTCATCAAGTCGATTTAAGAAAATTAGCAAGTCTCAGTCGAGACTTAAGTCATAAACAATGAACCCGAGTCAAGTCTCAAGTTGAATCACCTAGGCGACTTAAGTTGGACTCGAGTTCAAGTTGTGGGATTCAAGTCAACAACTCTGTAAACTGCACCTCCAAGCAACAGTAAGTTCCATGTCACTGTGTGGATGTCATATCAGCAGAGAGCAGGCAATGTTACCCTCTGGGTTTCTGCTTTGGAGGCAGCTTACTTCCACCAAAGTTCCATACAGCCACTGCTTGAATGATCTCTCTTCTACACATCCCATTAAGCTAACACCACCCACGTCTTTGAACTCTGCTGACTTTCAGAAGTCTTGCTTGCCAGCAAAGGGAGTATGCAATCATCTCAGATGGCCACAGCCTCAATTCCTGACAAAGTATTTGCATTATGGGTCTCCACCAACATTTGTACAAGCAAAATCGATGTGAATCTGCTTAGGAATTCTGGTTGGTTGTTTGCTCTTGGTAGGTAGCAACAACAAATAATAAGCTTTTTTTTATGTAATTTGGTCCCTCCCCTGCAAGTGCTCCCTGTAAAATGGGCTAAGTGACCCAAAATAAGTATATTTTTTATTTTAAATTTCCTTGCTACTTTTTGTAAGAGATGTAAACATTTTCTAACTTTGCTAAAAGAAAATTATTCAAATTCCATGGCATTTATCTACCTTTTTGTGTTTTACGAATTCAAATATATTTTTCTTAAAGAGAGTAAAATCCTTGATATAACTTGTTTATCATGAACAAAATAATTACTAAATCAGGGAACCAATTTAAGCAGAAATTATTCTCTTTTGAGATAGTGTTGTGGCTCCATAAGAATAAAAGTACCAGTCGCTAAAGCTCCATTGGTGTGTCTTTTTTCTCTGTCATCAATAGCACTAACTTACTTTTGTGTAAAAAGAAGCTTTCACAATTCAAAACTTGGTATATCAAATCTGAATTTGTTCATTTCCAATAGCTATAAACATAATTTTCTTTTTGCTCATGTTTTTTCCTAACAATGTAAGATAAGAAGGAGGAAACTTGGTCATGGTGTTTTGAAAGGTTTGGTGAATATTCTTCATTTTAGAATACTTAATTTTCCAGCCTTAATATTATTTTTAGAAGTTTCTGTATGAACATGTTTAAGAAAACAAAATGAAAATAAATCCATTTACATTATTGATAGCTATATAGTAGTCAGTAGAGGAATGCTAAGGCTGGTGCAGCCAACCCTCAAGTGCTGCCTGGAACATACCATGCTGCCCACTCCTTCCCCCACCCTGCCAGTCCTCAGAACTTCCCAAAGTGCACCGTGTGTGGCACTCTAATGTGATTTCAAGGGCTCAGGCTGCTACCACTCCTGCGATAGCAGTGGCAAGAGCTCCAAGAATTGCTGGGTGCCAATACAGCTGCCCCCTGCCCCACTCCATCAGCAGGCCTGCTGATGTCGTTTCCCTACTCAGAAATGTGATCTACTGATTATAATCAGCCTTACCAAGCATATAGTTTAGGTGTAAGGGGACTGTTACCCCTTACTAAAACTCTGTGGGAGGTTTTTGGTTTGCCAGTCTGTGGGAGTTTTTGGTTTACCAGCTTCAGAAGGGGAAGGGTTCATGAGACTGACAGACCCCAGAGACAATGGAAAGCAGTCAACACTCCAGCTCAGCCTGACTGACAGGTTGTAAGTGGGGGTTGTTCTGGCTCTCTCTCTGAGCAAACAGGGAGCTGAAAGAGCAGAGCGAGCTGTGTGCAGGAGAGGTCCTGCAAAGACAGAGATCTGAAAGAGGAGTACAAGAAGAAGTCCTGCAGCGACAGAACCAGACACAGACAGGCCAAGCAGTGCAGACCCTGTGTTGAGCAGCAGACTGGCAGTGCTCAGAAAGCCACAAGGAACAGAGAAGCAACACAAGGAGCTGGAACTGGCCAAGCAGCACAGCCTGCAGCTGGATGTGGTGAGCACCTGGGACCAGCAAAGTGTGGGGAAAGGCTCTGGACTGGGAGAGGGGTCTGGCCACTTAGAGTTTGCAACTGTGTGGTCACTACCAGAGCTAGCGTGTCCAGCCTGCAGCCCCCCCCTGCAGCATATCCAGGGCCTCTAAGAAAGAGACTGTGGACTGTCCTTATACTCTGCAGGCTGCTGTTTTGATGTCCCTGTGCTACAGAGCAGGGCTGTGTGTTCTCATTTAACCATTCTCATTTTTTCTTATTCTTTTCTCTTTAATCCGTTGTTGTTTAATAAATTGTATTTGCTTTGAACCTTATGAAGTGATCACTGGGCCAAGAAGGCCTGCAGTGTAAAGAGAGCACCTCGGAGTGGGGACACCCTAACTCCTGCCCCTAGTGACTACAAGGTCAGGGATTAAGCCCCAGGAAACCTGGGCCCAGCCTTGTTGGGGTTTCAAGGGCTCTGCTACTCAGGAGAGTGGAGGGGGAGCCCTCAGGATCAGG